ATGACCTGTTAACGAAAGATCTACCTCTTCCTCGTCCTCTAAAGTTGCCGCCTCTGAAGTTACCGCTTCTAGAGTTCCCATTTCCTCTCTGATATATGCCTCTGCCTCTTCCTTGTACATTCCTTTGCTCGTTCTCCACCTGTAGAACTTGTTCTTCACTTCTTTTCTCAATCACCTTTTGTTCATGTACGAGCAGAGATGCTTGCAATTCATCTACTGTCATATCATCAATGTCCTTGGACTCTTCGATGGAGCATACCACAAAGTTGAAGTTGTCCGTAAGACTTCGAAGTATTTTTTCAACAATTTTAACATCGTTCATGTTTTCTCCACAGTTCCTCATTTCATTGGCAGTAGACATGACTCTTGCGAAGTACTCAGAAACACCTTCTCCCAATTTCATTTCTAGGGTTTCAAATGTTCTGCGAAGCCGTTGTAGCTGTGCACGCTTCACTCTAGCACCTCCCTGATACTTGACTTTCATTGAATCCCACAACTGTTTGGCTGTTTCCTTCTGGGTGATGGTTTTCAAGATGCTCTTGTCTATGGACTGAAAAAGATAGTTCTTTGCTTTGAGATCTTTGAGTTTTGCTTCGTCGAGTGCCTTCGCGCTTATGCCTTCGGTCCCCTTCAACTCTTCAAGCCCTGGTTCAATGACGCTCCAGTACTCCTTGGAGCGGAGGAGATTTTCCATAAGTAAGCTCCAGTGATCATAGTCACCATCGAACTTCGGAACGCATGGTGTTGAGAAACTTTTTGCTGCCATTTTTCCTTTCTTCTGTGTTTTTTCTCTCAAACACTATTGCAGACTTTCCCTACTTCCTCTCAGTGTTTTTCCTCTCAAACACTCAATTTGTATATTACTATTATCAGGCCCTTTCGAGCTCTGATGCCAGATAAAGGAAAAAGAACAGAAACGTAAGCTAGAATACTTGATCGTTTATTCAAAAGACTGCTATAGCTTTTATAAAGCCTTACAATTTAAGTGTAACTGAAATAGAGAAAAATAAGGAAAACAGAATATAACAAACTGGAATAAATCAACTCCTAAAAACTAGCTTATTAAGACCTATTCTCTAGCTTTAACGGTAAACCCAACAGAAGGAAAGTTAAGGAAGTTCGGAAAATAATGACAATCAAAGTATTATTCAAAATCTGAATACTAACGTAAAACCTAGTCATTTCCCAGATCAACAACATAGCGAAATTACCTCTAGTTTTCATACCTCAAGTCTCGATATCTCGACAATGCCTTGATGTCAGAAACAAGCATGTTGGATTCCCTGACAGGAGTTTTGTCACATCATTCAGCATCATCATTTGTTTGTGTTGGAGGAGAAGCCATAAAGGTTGACATTGAATTCGTAAACCCACTACAAATCGAAATTCAATAATTTTCAAAAGCCAGAACACAATCATAATGCAATGAAAAGAATAGGGAAAGGTGATTCAAGAGCATAACCTCATCGAGGATGGAGTTTGTGCTAATGATCCGACTATGGTTGCAACAATAAGTGATAAAAGATATGATGAGGCGACCACAAGGGAAATCAAATAAGAATACTGTTGATACTAAAACCTTCGACGACATTGCAGAGGTCATGCTTATCGTGATCTACCTCTCGTTGTCTACCTTTTCCGCTTACTACTCTAATTGTCCAAGATCACCAATGTAGTACCTTTTGTTACACCACTGCATTGATTTCTCATAGCAGCCACCTAAAATCGAAATTAGCAACACAGTTAGGGTGTGTTTGGAAAACAGAAACAGAATCACGCAAAAATCGTCATTTTTATCAAGAAAGTCCCAACTCAATCAAATGTGTCAACTAAAAACTACAAGCTTCGATCGTGAAATCGTCTCCATTAATCACCCAAAATCACAATTAACAGCAGAAATATTTTTCTTTCCTAAGCAATAATCAACAACATTATTTCACATTGAATTTGAAACCACTATATTCACCCACTCAAGCCTCTCAAAACTTCCTTCGACCCCTTCATGACTTTTAGGATATTTTTCTCTTCTTGAAAAAAATATCCCTTTCTGTCGAATTCACAAAGAGAAGTCAAATTTCTCTCCAAGTCAGGTACATACCTGACTTCAGTCAATAACCTTGTTGACTTATCATGGAGCTTGAATCTCACAGATCCAATACTTATAATTTTGCAAGATTTGTTGTTTCCTAGCAGAACAGATTCACCATCTTAATCACATAGCTCCTCGAACAATTCTCTGTTTGGAGTCATGTGCCAAGTGCAACCTGGATCCATAATCCACTCTTTTCTCGAGTCGTCGCTTGAAATCACAAGAACATCATATGAGTCGAAGTCATCTTGAACAATGGTTGTGTTGCCATTATCTCCATGATCTTTCAGGCGTTCAAGACATACCTTTCTTGTGTGACCCTCCTTCTTACAGTGATAACATTAAATACCAGATGTTTCGCCACTATAAGATTTCTGTTGACTTTTACATTTCTTCTTATCGAACTTACATCCTTTCGCAAGAATTTTTCCTTAAGGGTCAAACCTTCGCCCACCGTCGAAGATTTATGCTCCTTTCGTTCGTTCAAGTCCTTAGAATAAGGCTGATTGAACTTCTTCAAAGGTCAGGGACTCCCTTCCATACAAGAAAGTTTCTTTGAATTGAGCATGTGTTATAGGCAAATCACACAGCAGCAACAGTGTTTGATCTTCATCATCGATCCTCACATCAATATTTTCAAGATCAAGAATCAGCTTGTTTAACATATCCAACTGCTCAGCCAACACTTTGTCTTCACTCTTCTTGAATGAATACAAAGCTTGCTTCAGGTAGAGTCGATTCACCGGAAATTTGGTCATATACAAACTTTCAAGTTTCACCCATAATCCTGATGTTGTAGTCTTCTTTGATACCTGTCGAAGAACCTTATCACCAAGACTCAACAATATTGCGTTGTGGAATTTCTCAATCATACTTGTCTTTTCTTTTGCCCTTAATGCAACGTCCATGGCTGCCTCACCCTTCAACGCTTCCAAACAACCCTGCTGAACCAGTCGGGCTTTCATCTTCAAGCGCCACAGATCGAAGTTGTTCACTCCGGTGAACTTTTCAATCTCATACTTTGTTGAAGGCACCTTCTCCATGTTCACTGCACCAATTTGTTGTGAATCGGATACCTTGAAGTAAAGTATAAACGGTTTTTTTATGATCAAGAAACCAATGTAAAATAACAAGGAACAATAAGGATTGGTTATAAACTGATATTATTTCCTCACTCTTAGAACAAGATTACAAGTATACAAGAATAACAAAATAACCTCTCTCTATTGAAATTAGGATTTTATCTTCCTATTTTTCCTTATGCCAAGATTGAGAAACTCGCATCCTATTTATAAGAAAAATAGCACACTAACCTAGTGAAATTTTTAACAATTACTCATTACAAGCTAACTTAGGGTACAAGCTAACTTAAACAATTGAGATTACAAGCAAGATCAAATTCAACATGCTAACAACCCTAGCAGTATTGACTAATGTATGTTAGAATAAACTTCGACTACAACACGCATTACTCCGACAGCAGCATGCGAACATACTTCGACCTCATGCTTAATTCCTGTTGAACCAGAAGTTACCCTTCAACCATACTAGAGTTCGATCCAATATCTCACAATTTTCAATCAAGGTGGAGATTGTTGGGGTTGGTTGAAAATATACATGTTGAAAAAGTCTCACATCGCTCAGTTTTGTGAATGAAGAGTGAGTCCAATGATATATTTAGGATACAAGTTTTTTGAAGTCTCACATCGTTTAGTTTTGTGAAAGAAGATGGAGTTCAGGGCTATATATAGAATTCAAGTTCTTCATTTTAAGATGCACCAGTCAAAAGCACTATTAGTTTTGGAAGGTATGGGTGTACTGGGGGTCTGGGTTTGTGAGTGTATATTATGTGTTGTAACATTTTTCATATTGTTATTCTTTAGTTGTCTAATGACAATGATCGTAGTTTTTTATCCGGTTTTGAAATTTTCACGTTATGTTCTTGTGTTGTGATTGTGTTCCTCTTTTTTCTCTATGCTATGTTTGTTTTTCCCTAACAATAGATTGAAAGTAAATTCCTTTGGCCTTGTCTTTAGAAATTTGCATTTTAAGATAAGTGAAAGGGAGAGAGCCAATCTTAAAACAAATATTATAAGTTGTGGAGTCTGGGTATATGGTGGGTTTTCTAGGATTGACAAAAGAATTTAAAAGCATTAGCATTATAATTAGTCCCACTGCAGAAAATCATCACATCATCAACATAGATAATGTGAGATGGCACATTTGAACCTCTTGGGCCCTTGATTAGCTTAACCTCTTCATTACCCACAAGCTTTGTTAGCCCTCTATTTAAGACTTCTTCTTCAAGGCAAAAGAACAAGAGATAATAACCAGCCTAAGATCTCTTAATGGAAATTTAGAACATAGATGACAGCAATATTGTTTTTTTTTTCTTTTTCTTTTCACACTCTGGTTTTCAAAGATAGAGGCTCTAGTATTCTAGAGTCCATGCCGAGAGATACTGATACTGGTTTTCAAAGAAAAAGGCTCTAATATTCTAGATTTCGTGCTGAGAGATACCGATACTGGTTTTCAAAGAAAGAGGCTCTAGTAATCTAGATTTCGTGCCAAGAGATATTGACACTGACCAAGTATTATATCTATCCAATGACAGAATTGTGAGTTGAAACCAAAATTCTTGATCGCATTTAATAAGAATCTATGATGCACTTCATTGATGAGGATAAGGATTAAGGGTCAAGAAGAAACCACTTAGATTAAAATCAATTAAATATACACATTTTTCATTGGACAACGAACAATCCCAATAGAGAATAATATTTATATTTAATATATATCCAACACCTAAGCAAAATAAAATAAAAACCTATCTGCTTCCGCCACCCCTTCTTCGGGGCGATTTGTTTTTTGATTTCTTGAATTTTCTTTCAAGCTTCCATTATTGACATTTTCAAATACTGTTAAATAATCTCTTTTCCATCCAGTTGATAATGTCCTGAGCTATCTCTTCTCGTTCAGGCTCAAACAAAAGGTCATGCAAGAAGCCATCATAAAGCTTTATGTCTTTGACCTCAGAAGCTGCCTTGTTGTACAAGTCTTGTGATGCCAAAGGATCAGTTACTTTATCAGCAGTTCCATGCAGGACAAAGAATGGTACTGTCACAGAGTTGAAGTTTCGCATTAAGTAGGACGATATTCGCAGTATTTCGTGGCCAGTTCGGACTCTAATAGGTCCTGTGTAGACTAGAGGATCCGAGTATTTCGCCACTAAGGCTGCTGGATCCCTTGAAACTGGAATGCCCCTTTTGTTTGCTCCTTTGAATTGGAACCTTGGTGCTACCAGAGAAAAGATTGGAGCAACAGCCTGCATAAACACATTACTCGTCTCGAATGAACAAAATGCACGAAAAACATTCAAAGGATGATTTATTATAATAAACATGATGCAGGGCAGCCTACAAAAGCAAAACTTACACCAACTATTGGGTGAGAAGGCTTCACGCGCAGCGCTGGTGAGGTTAATATAACTCCTTCCAGCATTGCTTCAATTTGAGGGTGCGATGCAGCCTACATAAAAAATGCAGAAATTAAAATTCAAAATTCAACGACGACAAATTTAATAATAGAGAGGTGTATGTAGAAGATTTCTGTCTTACTTTCAAGACCACAGCACCTCCTGTGGAGTGACCAAAGAGAAAGCATGGTATCCCAGGATTCTCTGATTTAATACTTTCCAAGAAAGCTCCCTGTTTATATTATCACCGTCAGTATGCAAAGTGCACGGGTCAAAACACGAAATGGTAAAAACTCAATGAATTCTAAAGTTCTTTCTATTCTAAGTATAAGAACAAATAATTCTACAATTAAGGATCGTGAAAATATACTTACTGTGTCTGCAACCACTTGATCAAGAGAAGGAACATAACCATGTAATCCATCACTACCTCCATGACCTGTAGCAATATAACATATAAGTTTGATCGGTCACAAAATGATAAGGGTGATAAAACACCAAAACAAAATTGCGGTACAAGGATTGCGAATGTATATAGCATAAAAATTAAATTACCTATCCAGTCCATTGCATAGACACCAAAGTTGCACAATGTTAACTGCCTAGCAAAATCCGCATATCTTCCACTGAAAAGGGAGCATCGAGTCAGAATTGGGTACAAATCGTAAAAACTAAGATAAGTATCCGTTGAGCTCTGAAAGATAACCATAACCAGACTAATCCTATAACAAACAGCCCTTGAGCTCTGAAAAATACAACTTAAGTTATACAGAGCAAGATTACCTGTGTTCATTGAGCCCGTGAATGATGATCATAATCCCCCTAAAAGAACATAAGAGAATAACTTGAGTTCAGTCAAATGTTAAAGAGAGTAGCGCAATTGCATGCAATATAATCCCAAAAACGTAGAAAGAACATTGCCAAATCAATCATTCCAATAAGTGAAAAACAACATAACACAAGAGTTTATTTCCTATAGCACCGAAACTTCTAATAGAAGGCATGTCTGTGACAGTGTCTGGTCTGCGTGACACACTACATATTATATCAATGAACTTTTTCAAATGTTCACCTGTGTTCATGTCATGCGCATGTGTCAGTGTCGTGTCTGTGTTTAAGTTTATTTAGCCAAATTTTAGATCAATTAAATTTTCCTTCATGTCAATGAGTCCAATTTCCCAGTTTTGGAAACTGAAACATCCTAAATTCTAAACCCTCGCCCTAATTCCACACTATGAAGCTTAATCTCAATCTCTACTTAGAAAGTAAAGTAACAAAAAAACAATAGAATCAACCAGAATCTTTCAAATTTCATCACGCAAATCAAGAGAAAACAAACCACAAATACTTCCCAAAAACAAAGAAATAAAAGCAGAAAAAACCTTACTTAAGATCACCAAAAACCGGAAACCAAGAACGACAAAACAAAGCGTTATTCCTAACACCATAAAAAATCGAAGTATTCCACCGGCAACAACCGTCATCACGACCCATTCCAACATCCTGCGCCAACGCTCTTCTCCTAAACGTATCCTCCTCTTCTCTAACCAACCACCGTTTCTTCAAATTTCTCTTTGGAGACCCCGGTACCGCCACCTTGTTCCGTCCCACAAACAAAATAAACGACAGAAAGAAAGTGTAAACAAAGATAAGCGAGCCTCTAAACGCTTTCAGAAGCGGAATTATCCGGTTGCTAGCTCCCGACGTTAGTGGCTCCATCTGCGATTCGATGGAAGACATCTCTAACGACGGTGGCGGATACGGCGGAGAAGCGGAGGCGAAGGCAAAAAGTAACGGTAAATGAATTGAGAACACAGAAACGCAGAACAGAGACAGCTCAAAACGTAAACGATATAGTACTATTATGGATTGACACAGTTGTGTGGTTATTTATACATTTTGTTTGATTGATCTTGTCCGTTTATTTTTACAGATGTGTTCTTTTTTGACGGTTGAGATTCTCTTGTGAAGATGGTGAAAAAAGTAAAAGAAAATAACTTTGTAAGCATCGGAGGAACGAATGGTGAAATATGTAGTACAGCCAAAAATCGCTGCGTTGATTTGGTTATTAGCTACGACTGGACACGTGGCGGTCTTTCATTTCTAGATTAAGCGGAGGAAAAAACGCGTCTTGGAAAATTCATCATTTTCCCTTTCTTATTAATGAAAATAAATAAAAATACATTTTTAGTATTAAATCATTTTTCTTTCTCTTTACCGGATTGGTCTGAAAATGAGAAATAATAGTTCTTATGTCTCAAAATAACTATAAAAATAATTTGTCTGAACTTTGTTTATTAATTTAAAGAAATCAAAAGTACAAGAAGTCGTTAAGATTCATCCTTCAAAAAAGACAAACGAGTTAAAAAGAACGGGAACTAAAACATCATTAATTTAGTTATGTGAGTTCTAAGCTTCCCACTATACCACCTTCTATAAACAATTATGTTTAAAATATCCTCAACTATCTTAATATTATCTACACTATTATCATAACTTTTGTTGTTACGGTACTTCCAAATACCATAAAGGGTCTCTGTTGCGGCTAATTTCAAAATAGAGACTCTCCAACCTTTTTCTTTGAGATTCTGAATCAACCAAGCAAGCTCCTCATCCCAACAACGGGGGATTCGCTTCACCTGGATCCAATCAAGCACTTTGGACCAAATAGTCTTGAGCTCATGACAACCATATATAGAACAAATGATTAATAGTTTCCTTTTTTTTACAAAAGTAACAGTCATTGCTATCCACCATTCCAAATTTAAACAGTTGATGCTCAATGGCTAATCTACCATGGCATGCTAGCCAAAGCATAGTCAGTGCTCTAGGCCTAACAGTATTACTACGGAACAATCTGCATCAAGGGACCTTAGGGACATCTCAACGCAACAAGGTGTACATATCCTTCATGTTAAACCTGTTTTTGCTTTGCAATTGATCCCATAAATTCTGGACATCTTTAATGTTGTCTCTATTCTTCAAGATAATTTTCCTAATCCAAGAATGATGATTTTTCCTACAAATAGTGAGCAGGTTATCATTTTTGAAATAGTAGGTGTGGATCTATTTCACTCACAAGCTATCGGATTTGCCATTAAGGTTCCAAAGCAATTTCAAAATCATTACCTTGTTCCAAATCCTAAGGTCTATGATGTTAAGGCCCCTATAATCCATAGTGAAATTCTGGTATGCAGATCTCAGATGTCCTAAGATATGCTAAGAACATTGATCTCTGCTAAAACAGAACAAGGACAGAACATGTGCATTTTAATTCACTTTAAAAATTAGCAATGTGGTGACATCTGTTGTAACATCTACAGACTGACAGAACAGTTTATCTAACCAATTAAATTGAGCAGAATGTTAAATGCAGAAACATAAGTAACTGACATTCGATGTTATATTGGATGTTATGACATCCGCTTCTGAACAGATTATTAAACTTAGCAGTAAACAGGTAACGAAAGCAGTAAAGAACACAGGAAATTGTTTACCCAGTTTAGTGCAATATCACCTACATCTGGGGGCTACCAAGCCAGGAAGGAAATCCACTATTAGCAGAATTAATTCAGAGCTAAACTCCCAGTTTACAACTCCTCACTTAATCTCTACCCAATACAATTTCTGCCTAGAACCCACTAGACAAGAGACAACTTTCACTCCCCCTCAATCACAGCAGTGATAACAATTCAATATAAGAAGAAAGACTTTAGAAGACACTCTTCAAAGTCACAATACTTGATTTTGCTTAACAGCTTCAATCAAGAACAATACACTCTTGCTTAAAAGTTTTGAGTGAACAAATAACAATTAACAAATAATAATATATCTACCACGATGCATCCAAAGATACAAAGGGTGACTTACAAAGTCACACACACAAGACTCTCAAAACCCTAAACCCTTATTTTACACTCAAGTTTTTCTTGTTGTGAGTGCTTAATTTTCCTTGCTTCTGCGCCTCCTTAAATAGTAATGCAGTCTGGGCTTGGGCTGATCAAAAGTAACAGCAGGGAGAGAAGATTTCAATGTTCATAAATTACAATAGAAATTAGGTTTAACCAAGTTAATCCAATCTCCACAATTCATGGTGCTATCAAATAGGTCATAGGCGTTTCATGTTATGCTCAACACTGCCTGGAGTCTCGCCTGAGATAACTAAGGAACCCTAGCAGGTTTCCTGAAATCTAGCCCGAGATAACTCAGGAACCATAACAGAAAAACGAACACGTGCCCTTGCTGGCAACTACCCGATGTCATAACATTCAGCATGACATCCAATACACTATGTTCTAGCTAACCAAACTTACCTAGCAGTACACTACACAGGTATGTCATGACATCAGTCAAGACATCTACACACATCAATGTTTTACCATAAAATGTAGCCAATCAAGAACATCTACAAACTCCCATTCTTCTGCAAAATCTTCTTCATAACAGTAGAAACAAATATATTATAGTTTCCTAAAAAGTCTCAAAGATCCTTTTTATGAACACCAATAAAATCTGCATTTTGTTCCAAATAAATCTCTTTGACCTGCACACGCTGATGAGGTATATCCAACAGGATCTCATCAAACCAAAACACCTCTGTCAAGAGATATAAAATAGCAGCTCCTGATGTACCAGACAAAGATGTCATGACATCTTGATTAAAACACATGACAGCAGTTCTATCTTGACAGTAGATGAAGATGTTATAACATCTTGCTTAACATCAGTGCAGAATCATGTTTTACCAAAATTTAGCCAATCATAGAACCAAGGACCATCATAGAATCATGGAACTAACACATAGGACTGCACATAATGTCCCACGAAATAGGACTCTTCATACTAACATCCGATCCACCAGTCCACATAAACGACCTGCAAATAAAATCAATCTTGTGAATAACATGTTTGGGGATGTGAAAACATTGCATCCAATAATTTGATATGGAAAAAGTCACACTCCTAATAAGCTGGATACGCCCTGCATAAATCAGAAGATTAGTGCTCAATGTTTGATTCTCCCCACAATCTTATCAACCAAGGTCATGTAATGATGTATAGAAAGCTTTTTGCAAGTCAGAGGCACACCCAAGTACCTGAAAGGGAGGGGACCCTCTCTAAAGGTAGTTAGGCTGATAATGTCCTGTTTAGTGTTCACATATAACCCAACAAAATAAATATTACACTTGCAAGTATTAACCTTGAAGCCAGTTAGCATAGAGAATTTGTTGAATGCATTCATCATAAGCTCAATGGGTCTATAATCTTCTCTAGAAAACAGAAGCATGTGATCAACAAAGGACAAATTAGTGATGTGGAACTTCTCACATTTGGCATGGTGATTAAAATCAGGGTTCATCTGCAGCTTATGTAAACTTTTGTTCAAATACTCCATAATGATAACAAACAGAAGGGGTGACATGGGGTCACCCTGTCTAATACCACGCTTGTCCTGCAAAAGGTTAGAATGACAACCATTAATGTTGAAACTGTAAGACATAGAAGAAACAATAAGTATAATCCATCTTAGAAATTGATTAGGCATACAAATGTCCTTTAAAATACACTCTAGAGCATTTCAATTCACTATATCATAAGCTTTTTGGAGATCTATTTGCATCATACATTTAGGGGTACCACCCTTCTTTGTATAACCTTTAATTAATTCATAAACCAATAAAATATGGTTATGGATTTGTTGACCTAGAACAAAGGCAGCTTGAGACTTACTTATAATTCTACCAAGCATTTTTCCCAGTCTGTCAGTAATGATTTAGGAGGTTATTTTGTATACAATTGTGCACCCATCTATAGGCCTATAATCCTTAATGGTCTTACCCTCATCACTTTTACAAAGAAGAGTCACCACGGTGTTGTTAAACACCTTATACAACCTCTCATTCTCAAAGAAATCCAAGATATGAGTTGTCACATCATCTTTGATTACCTAGCAGCTAGCCTTAAAAAATATGGCACCAAAGCCATCAATCCCAGGAGTCTTTAGATCACGAATTCCAGAGCTTTACGAATTTCTAGTTCACTAACGGGGGCCATTGGGTTCTCTCTCTACTCCATGCTAAGTTGAGGACCCTCTCTCATGGCCAAAACATTAATATGTTGAATTATGTTGTCATTGATGACCATTAACCCTCCATAGTAGTTCAAAACTTCAGCCTTAGTGTCATTTTGGGAAGTGACAATAGTTCCATCATCTTTGTACAACATCTTTAAGTTTTTTGCATTATGTTTGGCCTAATGGAAGCATGGAAATAATATTTATTTCCATCCCCCAATTTAAGCCAATCAAGCTTAGATTTTTGTCTGAGGACTTTTTAATAACACATACATAGTATCATTCCAACTCTTCATGACATAACCTATACATAGGTTGGAGTCTTTTTAATTTCTTCCATAATACATACATAGGTTTACCAACAATAGTATCATTCCAACTCTTCGTGACATAAGTTTACCAACAATAGTATCATTTCAACTCTTCATGACATTCGTATCATAACCATCCAAATCCACCACATAATTAAGGAACTTGAAATGAGCTTTTTTGAACACCTGTTTTTCCTGCCCAGCCAGATAGCAAAGAGAATGATCAGAGACATAAGGTGGTATAGTTTTGAGGGTTGATTCCATATTATATTGAATCCACCCCATGTTCCCAAAAATCCTATCAATTCTAGAGTAGATAGCCCCTTAAGTTTGTTTGTTTGACCAAGTATAGTAGT